CTCTCGACAACCCTCTCTCCCGCTCTAAGCAATCATGGTTACAAATCGTACACGTAAGTGAATAGCAAATAGAAAAGCCGGGAACAAACGACCGTGAGGGGTTGGATAAATGTGATTTATACTTAAGAAGATTGATAAAACGTTCAAGATGAACGAAGGTACACTCAGAGTACACTCATCTGGAACTGAAGACAAAACCGGATAGATATGTATCTGTCAACAGTGGAGCTATGTACTAACATAAGTAATCTGGTACCTAAACGAGTTCAAACCATGTTCGAGTCGCCATTACTTTAATAACGACTTCAATTGTTCAACCAAAATCGAACAGCGGATAGCGAATAGTTGGAATGTGTCCGAGCGGAAATTTCATGTTCTGACAGAAAATGAAGCTTAAGAACAACAAACTCGTACGCAAATGGTTAGGCGTTGAAGAAGGAAAAAATTCGGGTTCAGCAGTGATTATGAAAATAGGTGTCTGTAGTTTCTAAAATGCGGCCCCCTCCCCCAGATATCGTCGCTCAGATTCAAACGAATCGTAATGCACGCAAATGTGCTGTTAAACATACGAGAGCCACTGGTTTCATTACCAATCACCAATGTCTCTTAAGGTCAGTTTTGTGAAAAGAACAGGCGAAAAATTGTCATTGCAGGATTAGAATGACAACTACCCAGCACAATTATATCGTTCTAACCAAGGGTAGATTTGGGGACACCAAACACAAGGCATAGAGTACGGTCATGAGACCGACTGTCCTACATCTCTGCCCTTTAAACCAATCAATCTCGTGGGCCTAACCTGATGCATAGCCGCAGCAATGAAAATTCAGAAAACGGTCGAGGGAGCGTAACTATCGGGATGTTGATTAAGTTTTGCTGATGCGCAGCAAACTGACTCAGAATAAGCTGAGCAAATGTAAACATTCTGTTCCGATGAATATGTTGTATCCTCTCTCTCGCACGGTATCAATTTGACAGAATAGTTGCATGATGTTAACGATGCCCAACAAGACTGGAAATGTTGTGTTGTTTCGTTTCCGCGTTTCCTTCTAAGCAGTGCAAAACAAATTTGATTTATGGATGCATCTATACACATTTACGTGATAAATTCTCGGTAAGAGGACATTCGCAATTCGTTCAATACACACACACACACACGTACGCACAAATGGAGCAAAACCTATCGTGTGTTGTATTGTGTTCCATCGACATACCATCTGTTGATACACTTTAGAGAGAAATCTTTTCAGGGACGACTGGATTGATGTGGGATCACTAGGAAAGTGGCGGCAGTAAGCGCCTGTAACAATTTTTTACGCCAGTGTGAAAAAGAGAGTGGAAGAACGAATAGACAATAACCAACGGTAAACTAGATCGGATACAAGGCGGTTTGAGAACACGTCACATGCACGTCTGGTTGGGAACGGGGCGGGGAGGGAAGATGACTGCATCGCTTGATGCGATCCACTGGGAACATGTGTCCAAACAGTTCTCTGTCTACTTGTTACCGTGTCGGGTTGGACAACCAGAAAAAGCAGTTGTCTTTTACAGTTTGAATTCGATCTGCAGTCGATCATGATTGTTTGATTTATTCTCAAAATAGCCCAGTTTATTCAATATGCAAAAAAACTGAATTCGTTCCTCCCACTGACCGAATATGTAAAAATAACAACGAGGCTGCCAGATAGTTTGATGAAGAGAAACCTATGGCAACTATCTCGGCTAAGAACTACACCGATCATGCGAAAGCAGTTTGTTTACAAACCGGTTCAGAGAAATAGGTAGACTAACAACCAGAAAGTTACACTTTTTCACTTGCTCGTCGTTCCGCGCGCAAAAACCGATAAGGAAAGATGGGGCCGAAGCAAGACAGGGGTCAGCAGTAATCCGTAGTCAAATATCCGTTCGATCCACAAGAAAATTTGTTTCCTCTCTCGCGCACACACACACGACTGGTTGCCGCCACAAATGATAGCTTATACTACGGTAATTGGTTTTTTTGGAAAATATGTATCAGTTTAAAGAAAAAATTTCAGGCAAACTGTTCCCCTTAGGAGGGAACATCATCCTTCTATGATTTTCAGCATAGCCGGACTTAGTGAGAGGACGCGTCGGAGAAATGGACACCACATGCTGTGAAATCCACCGGTGTCCCCCCACCCACACAAACGTAAGTTGTCATTCAGACTTTTCTACCATCTGTGTTCTATCAATAAATGAGTGCCTACTTCATGGATCCTAGCTTTGTATCGTGTGTTGGGTATTGATAGTCGCTTCCTAACAGAAGTCATCGCTCTACACCACCTCCAATGGCTTGGTTACGTATTGCGTATGCTTGCCCATCGGTTGCCTTTTCGTGCTCTCTTTGCCGGTACCGGGCAAGGCTGGAAGAAGCGCTGCGGCGGTCAGGCCATGATATGGCGTAGAGGTATGAAGAAGCTGGCTTCGGCCTCGGCTTGGTGCAGCCCGCCTTTCAGGTTGAGGTCCAAGAGATGAGGATTGTCGTTGGTTAAAGATGATGGAAGATATAGCCCAGAATAGGAGTCAGTGGAGCGAATGCTGTACGGTCCTGCCTGTTGAAATCCCGTGACCCATAAAAAAACGATAATCTAACACACAAAGAATATCAAAAAGTGTATGGTGGAACAAGTAAAAAAATTGTTATTCTCATAATTCAACTTAACTGTCCGACCCCCTTTTACTCTGCTATGTGTCCCAAACCCCCATGTTCTTTTAATCTTGTTCTTGCGTTAGCACCATGCTTGCTCGCATGCCGTTGATATATAGATTTATATATAACTTGATATCAAATAAAACCGCACCAAATCGG